AGTTGTTTCTACTCTATTACTTTCCTAATGCCACAATTTTAGGATGTGTCACATTAAGTAGTCAGTTCTCAAGATTCTTTGTTTTGATTGAGCATTTTGTGTTAGAAAGGAAAACATGCAGTGGAGAGTCTGGGAAATGTTTCCACCTGGGAGGTTTCACAAAAGTGTTCAGGCACTGCTGAGTGCCTACGTGAGAGTTTTAATGTTTTTTTCCTCCCAATGCAACTATCCATATTTCTTTAGAAAGCACATGCACAGGATGTAAGAGTGGAAGGCTACAGAACAGCAATTTGTGGAAGAGGAACACTTACATCTGTGCATTTAAAGAGAACCTTTTAAAAGGTTTTAGATATTTCACTTCAGCTATTAGTTGTTTTAAAACAGCACAAGATGTTTTCATCCATAACAAAAGACACCAAACAGAAACACATATTTTCACAATTAGAATGTTATATTTTCTACCTTACAGATCTCTCCAATTCTATAACAACATAACTAAAGCCTTCAAATTACCTTAGCAATTAGAAACTCAGGTGAAGAAGTAACACCCAGTGAGTGCTTTGATGGAAGGCTTTCTCACTTAAAAATAATATCAAGAACTGGCCTGACCATTTTTTTTATGGCTACACTAGCAGAAACCAGCCATTGATACCTTACTGCTTGTAGAAACACATGATCACCCATAAAAGTTTCAACCACAAACCCAAGCACTGAGCAGGCTCTGAACCTTAGCATAACACCAGAGGCAATTATGTAACCTGCATGCATTTCCAGAGATGCTGAGAGGCCTTTTCATCAGATTCATGGTTAATGAACGTTTTTAATAGAAGGGAGCAGTTTTCCCTTGCATATTTGATGGATCTTATCATCATTCTACTGAACCCAGAAAAGCATTGGGAATTCTGAATTTCTTAGGAAGAACTCTATAGTCACTCCAGAGTGGTGGTCTTACAGTCTTTGGCCCGGGTAACCACAATGTCCATGGATTTTCAAACCATTTTTATATGTGGGCATTATGCATAAGTACTCAAGGGGTTTCATAACTTTGAAACATTGTGCTATTAATTATTGAACTCTAATCAACTTGGATTCATTTGCTGGGCAGTTATTACATAGGCTTTATAACAGCTGTTACATAGGAAGGTAGAAAATAGCATACATTTTTTTAATTAGATATTTTTAATTTTTTGTATATTTTTATTGATTTCAGAGAAGAAGGGAGAGGGGGAGAGAGAGAAACATCAATGATGAGAGAGAATCATTGATCAGCTGTCTCCTTCACGCCCCACACAGGGGATCGAGCCTGCACCCAGACATGTGCCCTGACCTGGAATCAAACAATGACCTCCTGGTTCATAAGTTGATGCTCAGCCACTGAGCCAGGCCAGTTGGGCAATATTAGCTATCTTTATTCTCACTACAAAGCTGCCAGGTAGGTGCTACAAAAATAAGGAAATCAAGGTTGTTGGAGTTTTAATTATCCCTTAATAGGTGACTGAGACCATATTTATAATTAGAGCAGTCCATTCCATTGCCCAGGGTTTTTGTACTATGTCATAGTATCGAGGAAATCAAGAACATAATTCAGATTATTTATAAAATTTTTTTAAACTATTTTATGGTAGAGGAATTTGGACAGGGCTTCCTAGGCTAATGGACAAAGGATTTTCCAAACCTGTGATTTGTCTTGATGAAAATATGATGTATGTTTTGAAGAATCAGGCTAAAGGTAGCAGCATGGCCAGCTGTGCAGATGAAGTAGAAAGTAATCAAAAGCTTCCTAACGAAGGGCTGGACTGCAGGTCTTGATTCATGGGATAATGAAATGCAAATATTAGGCTTTCCAGAGAGAATTAAATGATCAGAGTAATCCATAATTTACACAAATGATTTTTATTATTTTTTATTAAATTATTATCTTTGTACATATCTTATCATTCACCCCCCCCAAACATACTCTCTCTCCCCAGAGTTTTGTGTCCATTGGTTGTATTTAGATGCATGTATACAAGTCCTTCGGTTGATCTATTATCTCCCCCAGATCTCCCTACCCTCCCATTGTAATTTGACAGTCTGCTTGTTGCTTTGCTGTCTCTATATCTATCTTTTGGTTCATCAGTTTATAATGTTCTTTATTATCCATAAATGAGTGAGATCATGTGGTATTTCTCTTTCATTGACTGGCTTATTTCAAAAGATTTTTTAAAAATAAATCTGACTGCCACTCATGGCCAAAAATTTAAGAGACTTCTGAGCAACGCTAAGATAATGTCTAAAGATTTTTAAATTGTATTCAGGATGCCACCATTATGTTCCATCTACTTGCAGTTTGCAGGACACAGCATTCTGTTTTATGTATCCACCTGTGTGCTATTTCTTCTGCTTCCTTTGTTTCAAAGATGAATTCTAACTCAATTTTAAAGAGCCTCCTTAAGCATTTTCTCCTTTCTGAAACCTATAATGATAAAAGTTGCTGCCCTTCCCTGCAAAAGATTAGCTCATTATTCCACAAAGCCTAAGAGTATTGAGAAAATAGTAGGAGCATTTTCATTCAAGTTATGAGCAAATCACAGATGTCAACTCTATACACTAAGGACTCAGCAGACAAATGGCACATTCAAATTAAGATTTTTGATAAGGATTTAATACACATACACAAAGGCATGAGTAGGATATTAAAAAAAAAAAAACAGAGAGAAGAGTAAACGAACCTCCCTTAAACAATAGTATCAAGGGAAGAAAATGCAGTAGAAGTAGTAAAGAGGCTATCTCTTAGCAAGGAATCCATTTTCTCCTGCATAGATACCTCCCTTACTGATACTGCAGTCCAGTTCCATGCCATATCAGTGACTTGCACTATTATAAAATCATTCCAGTGTTTAAGACCTCTTCCTGGTCATATTACTTCTTTAATCACTTACTGGATTCACGGCTCCTTCTCTCTCTGCAAGCAGGTAAAAATGGAAAGAGGAGAAGGAAGGCATGGGCTTCTCTCCTGTGAACCTTTCCTCTCCCTCCTGGTGGTAGGTTCTCTGGTGTTGGGAAGGAAGAAAAGAGAGGAACAAGACAAATGACTTTTTATTTAAATGTCAGTGGTAAACATTGCTGGTCGTTGAGTAGTGTAACAGGTCTTCCAGTTTATTGTTTTGGGGGAATTAGAAGCTTGAGAAGCCCATGGTGTGAGACTCGTTTCCAAATAGCAACTGGAGAATTGATGGGTTCTTCCAAACTCTGGACTGGGCTACTCATTCCCATTGCACTTCAGCTGGTACTGGCATGCTACAAGCCTCAAGGTGCCTGCCTCTGCCCCATCTGTGAAATCCATGACAAGACCACAGTCTATGGTTGTATCTTCCCTCTGGCACTTCAAGCCCATCCAGAAACCATCTCCAATACTTAACAACCATAAATTTAAGGAGGTGGTCCCTGGGCCCTTCTCTGGCTAGTTGTCCCTCACTTGGCCATGCTCAGGTCAGACTGTCTGCTAAGTAACAGCCAATTCAAAAGTGGAATGCCCATCTTTCTGGCACTTCCAGAGTTTAGGAGTATTTCTTTTGTATTTTCTTTCTTCACCTCCAGGAAAGGCAACATTTCCCCTCTTCCTTTCCCCAGAAGCAAAGAATAGTCCCTTTACTAATGCCTGAGAGATCACTTTCTACCTTTTAGTTCTTTTATTATCGAGGGAGAGGGGTCCTTGTGATGAACTGGATCTTCTCAGCAGGTCCTATTGAGAGGTTCAGGCCCCAAACTAGCAATTATCTAAGATTAGAAACCGAAGTTTTCTTAGAATCTTCTATTTTCAGATTCGTACATTTCTTGTTGATCTTCTATATTGCATATAAAAGTGTAAATTGTTAAATCTCTCTGGGGCAAAATTAAAATTGACAAATTATATTTCTAAGAATTACACTATAAATAAACTTGTAAATATAAAAATTATTATAGTTTGATTATAATAACAAAGGATTGGAAACAACTGCAATATGGTTAAATTATGATATGTTCATATAGTGGAACAATGGCCAACCATTAAATATTTTACTGTTTTGATTATTATAAGCAATGACTCAGTAATTTATTTATTTTTAATCCTCACCCAGGGATATTATTTCCCATTTATTTTTAGAGAGTAGGAGGGAAGAAGAAGGAGAGAGAAAAAGAGAGAGGAGAGCAACACTGATATGAGAGAGACACATCGATTGGATTGGCTGCCTGATGAATGCACCCCTATGAACCTTCCTTGTGCAGGCTGACACTCCAACCACTGAACATACTGACCAGGGCTCAGTAATTTATTTTTAAGCAAATACTCTTGGAACTTTTACTTTGTAGTTAGTGCTGTGATATTCTAGGCTACATTAAAAAATGGGACATAACTTTACACAAATATATTGGGAGGGGGGATGAAAAATATAAGATAAATGATAGTTAAAGTATATGTGAGTGTATATATATATATATATATATATATATATATATATTAAGAGGTTGATCTTATTATCCCTATTTTATAAATGAGCAAATTGAGATGTGAGAATACAGCAGATTTTTATCATAGAACCAGTAGTAGCATAATCATGATTTAAATTCAAGTTTTCTTGACCCCAAATTACAGGTACTTTTCAGTACAACATGCTTAACGCTTCCCTAAGTTTTATGCCATCAGTAGACTTACCATGCTATAGTGCAGCTGTATATTGGTCTCTCCTGGCGTACTGTGGGCTTCATGGAGCAGGTGCTCTAGAGCCATCTGTCTGTGATAGTAATACAATATCTGAGGATCATATGAAATTTTAGCTCCTTGGGCAAATATTATATCCAAGTCTCAAACCTGCACAGCAAATTGTATTTCGTGAACATATATCAACATTATGTGCTGTTATTAAAAAGAGCCACTCATTTCCAGGAAAGAACATTTTCAAGTCCCTTGTGCAGATAACGTAGATGTCCGTTATTAAGTCATCTGAAAGGTCAGGCCCTAAGCTTCTGCTTATTTGCAGGTCGCTCCTCCAAAGATTCAGTGGGTCAGATATCTGTTCATGTGGACATCACCACCACCCCAGGCACTGGAGAGCATAAAGTCACTGTAAAAGGTACATTTTGGATCCAGATAGGTCAAACAGCTCATCAGACTTTAATCTCTGCAAAATTAATATTAAAATGTCATTTTATCTGTGTTTGAATATGTGTATTAAATTATTTTATGGGTTTAGAATGTCTTCCTGAACCAGAACTTTTATTTAAAAACAAATACATCCCACAGATAATTAACCTATGTAATTTGAAATATTTAAATACATTGGTGATTACATTTCAAAACTGTATATTCTCTATGATTAATCCTATTATGTATATAATATTAGTGCTATGGTTGGCTTACTATTCACATAACCTACCTAATTCTTTCTCTAGGTTATTTTCAACTACTGATTTGATTTTTTCATGATGGTTTAATCTATTGGTTTATATTGTAAAAATATCACCTGAATGCAAGGATCATTTCAGACATGAAATTAAATGGTTTATATTTTGCTTAATAGAACCAAAAAAGAGGCAGAGATTCCACACAGACATTTGCTAACACTCTGTATCCCATCCCCATTTTGGTTTTATAGTGATGGCTATTAATAACCTGAACTGGCAGACCACCGCCATGTTCCGCCCCTTCGTGGAAGTTTGTATGCTGGGACCCAACCTTGGAGACAAGAGGAGAAAACAAGGCACAAAGACAAAAAGCAACACCTGGTCTCCCAAGTACAATGAAACATTTCAGTTGTAAGTCATGACCCAACTCATTTTTTCAACCAGGCAACAGTCACTATGCAACTAATAGTTACTGAACATCACTGATCCCAGGCAGATGAAAAAGGCTGTTTTTAGTTCCTTCCATTGAGTCATTATCTGTTCAGTGCCTACCATGTATCAGGCAGTACTATAACTATTGAATACGCATAATAGGATTTATCTGCTCTCATGGAATATACTTTCTAGAGATGAGGGACATATGCTAAACAAAAACCTATTGTGGTAGTGTTATGTAAAGAATTAAAACAGGTCAGTGTAATAGAATGATTACTTGGTTACTTACATTGGGTGTTCAGGGAAGCCTCTCTGAGTTTTAAATTGAAACCTGAGAAAAGTAAAACATCAGCCATGCAGAGGAGTGTTGACAGCATTTCGGGCCAATCAAAAATGTTAGTGCATCCAATTAGGGCAAATGGAAGTTACCTGACACTGAATGAAATAAAAGATACCCCCTAGATTTTGGGGTAGTTGTTTACTGAGATGGAGGCATAGGGACAAGAGATATGCATATCAGAGATTTTCATTTGATGTGGAAATGCCTATTGGATCTCCAAGAGGAAATACCAAATAGATAGTTGAATAAGACTTGAAAATGATCTGCATACAGATGAAATTCATTCCCTAAAGCTGGATAATCTGAACTAGGGACAGATAAAGAAGAGAGGCAGGCATCAGATCAAGCTCACACAAACTTGTGTCTACAGCATGCTTGATTAGAAAAAGTCACTTTAAAAGGAAGGAATGTGGATACTAGTTCTGCTGAGCAATAGATGTGCATTTATGAGTAAATCAAGAATATCTGAGAACGAATTGATGTTAAGTGCAGGAGAGAATTGTTCTCAGCATAACAGGATCCAGCCATCCTCATTATGCTCACTTGTGCACTGACAAGCTGTCCTGAGTTGTTGTTAGTAGAGGCCACCCTCAGCCCCACATTTGGCAAGCCTGACTGTTGCCACATGAAAGAAGTGGCATTAAAGAACCAGCCTCTGATGGAACTAATGCACTATGGAGATTTGTATCCAATTTAGCGTCTTGTAAATAGTGCCTGATAGCCTGTGCAATGAATTCCCCTGAGAAAAGGTTCCCAGATACAAAGGATTCAGGAGCCTGAGGTAAATAAAAGAGGCTTCAATAAATGATGTTGAAATGACACCGATATTCTTCCGACATACCCCTTACCCAAGCCTGGCTCCCATGATCCACAGCAACCCTATCCTACCCCTATATCAGAGGGGAGACCCTGACTCCAATGATTAAGTACAGCCTAATGCTTTAATTCCAGTTTCTATTGATATGTTTAATAGCAAGGCACTAATGCATATTTAAATGGATTTCTTTTTTTATATCTAGGGAAAGAAGGAGTTTTTAAGTTATATTACAAGTAATAGTTACATAAACAGTCTAAAATTTTACATATATACATATATCAGAATTAAAATATAGTGATGCTCTATTTCCCAATATAAAAATGTATAACATTTTTAGAACTGTGTTGATACCTAGGTGAAAAAAAAAAGTTTTGCTCAAAATTCATCATTTTAATCCACACAGCATTCTGGGTAACGAAAACCACCCAGGAGCCTATGAACTTCATCTCTCAGTTAAGGATTACTGCTTTGCCCGAGAAGATCGGATTATCGGAATGACAGTAATTCAGCTACAGAGCATAGCAGAAAAGGGAAGCTATGGGGCATGGTACCCCCTTTTGAAAAATGTTTCTATGGATGACACCGGTTTGACTATTCTTAGAATACTCTCTCAGAGGACCAACGATGATGTGGCGAAAGAATTTGTAAGACTTAAATCTGAAACAAGATCTACTGAAGAGAATGCTTGAAAGGAATACTGAAGATACCATCTTTGAGAATGCATAAACTATAATTGTTTGACTACTGCATGCATGTGCAAATACATGGGAATGTTTATTTCACTACATTTCAGTGTTTGCCAGTAATCACATACAATGTCTACAAGGTATGTGGAAAACCTGCTGAACTTGTATACATACCATCACTGGTGTTTGGGAAATAAATGTTCCATGAAGTGCCAAAACTATGATGTAAAGTGAAATATCCAGATCTTTTTAAATGTTTCTTTCCTCTCATTAACAATTTTTCAACCATTAAGCATACTGAAAAACAATTAAGTTTTTTCAGTTCATCTATTAGGGTGTTTTTTTGTTAAATTAGTTTCAATTGCCCATAGATCAGAAAGATTTGTTACTCAAATTCTGTTTTATTTAGACTTACCTCATTGTAGATGTCTTAGAAATACCCTTTTCTATTATAACTAGAAATGTAGTCACCACTAGAAAGCATTTGTAATTTTATAGTTGAAGATATATTGTGATGATTTTTTGCATACAAATTAAAATAGAAAAGGTGAAAAATATTTTATGCTGACCAGTTTCCAACCTTTCTGAAATATCACTGTGAAGAAATGCTATTAAAGCAAACTTACACAAAGCAATGCTAAATAGTTTGTTAACAATGTTTGATATATTGACAAAACTTTGTTCTTCAAAACTGCCACAGTCAAATCACATTTGTTAAAAGGTAAGTTGATGCACTTGCCACCTAGCATTATGTCTTGGCTTTATCAAATTTCATTATTTACAAAATCATGTGATGGAAAGTTTTTAAAAAAAAATTATAACTACTATTAGTGTTTTCCCTCTGACAGATATGACTAACTCCTTAATTACCTAGCCCTGTAATCAGTTAAATGCTTTTTTTCTTTTAAAAATGTTCAACTATTTGTACTAAATTCAGCATTATTATATATTGCACTGGAACAAAAAGCCTTGTCTTCATTTACTTAATGAAAAATGTAAGACAGAATCTGAAGAAATTGCTTACAATCTTGTAATTTATGTTATTGATAAGACCCAGATGCATCAGATGAAATAGAAAAACAATAACTAGGCTGGATTTTGAATATGAAATACTTCATGAATATTTGCATTTTCTGTATTTTTATGATTTGACTTTTTAGAGTCTATATAAATTGTTGGCTGTAGAACAGTACTTTGAAACATGCTCATGACTGTTAGTGGACAACATATACCTGCAGAAACAAGAACCAATTACAATGATTGTGTTTGTTGAACAAGCTGGTCTGGTATGTTAAGAACAAAATTAATATTATCATGAATCTCAGAATCACTCTGCTACTAGAGGTGAGAACACAGACCAGTGAAATCCACTAATTCATGTAAAATTGTTAGGCAACTGCTTTGTTAATGACTTCTCCAAATGCATAGTGCAATGTGATCCTGTGGCATATGCATTAATAAATGGATATATATTGAGACCATGCAACACTTTGTTGTATTTGCTGCCTTCTTATTTAATTTATGAAGCATTATTTCATTATTTAGAAATAAACACTCCAGGGTTTTTTGTTTGTTTGTTTTTTAGTAGTTAGAATGATCTTCACCTTGTTTGGTTCTAATATTGCATTAGAATTTGAAAAATACTTTCCCAGACATGTATTCATGGAAACAGCTACATACTATAAAATAATGATTCTGAAAACAAGGAAAAACTGATGTATTAAATACTGTTAAGCACTACAAGAAAGTCAATATTCATCATATAAACAAGCAACATGAAAAAAAAATGTTTCATTATTTTAGTGAAGGATTCACTCTAGATTTATCTTATAACAATTTTACAGAACATTGACTTGAGCTCTTTAAGAGCATATTAGTGCCATAAGGCATGATACACTTGAATAAATTATATTTTGGGTTTGTATTGATTGATTACTTAAAATGTTAAGCTAAGTATTTTTTTCCAAGCAATTGTTTAATTATATCTATTCTTTTTTTTGTATAAAATATATATGTAAAGACAGCATGAACTAAGTCTGTTAATATCATAAAGTACAGGTACTAATATTCAAAAAGTTAAAATTCTACAGCCCTTGTTATTTCTCCCAAGACGAATATTTCTCTTGTCTCCAGAAAAAAAAAAAGCTGTTGTGTTTACATATTCAAATTAGTAAACACTCTGAGGCTCAGAGCAATTTCCATCAACAATGAACTCCATTAAAGTGTTTGGCAATTTATCTTATTCTAGATAAAATGCACAAAGACAAAGCTCTGTTATTCATATACAGATGAACCTCTCTCATTAGGAGCTTTTAAAGAAATAAGTGAAAAATCCAATTTGGCCAAAATAAAGTGCTTAAAGCCATAGTGGAACATTCATTATTTGAAGAAACTCTAATAATTGATTATTTTTAAAAGTAATCAAATGTCCCCATCACATCTGCTCTAGTCTAAGATAACTTATATATTTAATTTCCCTTAAACTAGACACATTTATAAATGACAATTCTAGCTTTAAAAATTTCCATCCCTCAAATGCCGAAGGAAAGACATATATATCAAGTACTACCAACAACCAAGATACGAAAGCAGTTCAGAAAGTATATGAAAATTTCAAGAAAGTAAATTCAAAGACATGGGAGTTTGGGATTTCAATGACAATAAATTCAAGAAAGCAGTTCTGAAAAAAATTCAATGATATACAAGAAAACTCAGAAAGTCAGTGAGCTCAGGAATAAAATCAATTAACAAAAAAAGTACTTTACCAAAGAGATTGAAACTATAAAAAACAAATAGAATTACTGGAGCTAAAGAACAAATGAAATGAAATGAAATGAAATGAAATGAAATGAAATGAAATGAAATGAAATGAAATGAAATGATTAAATGAATTAAAGACCTTAGGAAATAAAGCAGACTACATGAAAAAAAAAAGGTAGTGATATTGAAAATAGAAATATAGAAAGGGCTCAGATGGAAGGAGAGAATTGGGAAAGGACTTTATGAGATCTAACTCCATTACAAAGAACAACATAAAAATAATAATGGGTATACCAGAAGGAGAGAGAAGAAACAGAGGGGCTATTCAAACAAATAATAGGTGAGAACTTCCCAATATATAGAAAGATCAGGACCTTGGAAACCAAGAAGCTAAGAGAACATCTAATTATCTCAATGCAAAAAGAACCTCTTCAAGGCACATTATATTAAAACTATCAAATGTTTTACAAAGAGAGAATTCTCAAGGCAAACAGAAAAGAAAATCGCAGCCTATAAAGAAAATCCCATTAGATTAGCATCAACATTTTCAGCAGAAATATTACAAGCTAGGAAAGAGTGGGAGCAAAAATTTAAAATATTGAGAGTAATTACCAACTAAGAACAATATAACCCAGCAGAGTTTTACTATAGATTTGAAGGGAAAATAAAGGCTTTACCAGACAAATAAAAGTTGAAGTAAATTACCACCAGACCAGCATTACAAGAAATGTTGAAAGGAGCTCTTGTACCAGAAACAAAACAACAACAACAAAACAAACAAACAAACAAACAAAAAGGTACAAAACTGTAAGATGACAGACAGAAACAGGAAATTGCAACTCTTGTTCAGAATAGGGTATTAAATATAGCATAAAGATTAAATGAGGTAAACATCTTTTTTAAAACATAATACCGCCTAAACTGGTTTGGCTCAGTGGTAGATCGTAGGTCTGCAGACTAAAAGGTCCCAGGTTCGATTCCGGTCAAGGGCATGTACATAGGTTGGGGTGTGCAGGAGGCAGCTGGTCGATGTTTCTCTCTCATCAACATTTCTGGCTCTCTATCTCTCCCCCTTCCTCTCTGTAAAAAAATCAATAAAGTATATTTTAAAAAAACAAAACATAATAGCTACTGCAATTTGTAAAATGAATTCACAGCATACAAAGAGATCATTTGTGAGAATCTTCTATATATATAAAACCCTAATATGCAAATAGACCAAATGGCAGAACAACTGAACAACTGGTCGCTATGATGTGCACTGACCATGAGAGGGCATGCAGGGAACATGGCGGGCATCAGCAGCAGGCAGCAGAGCACAGAACATGGCAGGTATAGCAGGCATGGCAGGCATCAGCATGGTGGGATGGTGGAGCAGGTGAGCAGGGACACCAGACCAATGAGGGGCACCAGTCACTGTCAATAGGGTGAGCCTCTGGTAGTTAATGAAATTTTTTTGCTCCCGCATGCTGTGGTCTCACTGGGTGTTTGCACCTGCTGCCAGCACCCAGTGCCAACCACAATTGCTCTGCACAGGCAATGGGAGCAAGCGGGTGCTAACATGATCATCCAATGGGCGCAATAGCAGCGGGAGTGGGACTGATGGCAGACAGGGGACTAGGGCAGCTCTGTGAGGGGCTGGACCTAGGCAAGAAGGATGGGCCCAGACTTGCCCTGGTGCCAACTGCAGCCTTGCAGCCCACAGTTCCTTTCAAGGTGCTCAAATTCGTGCACTGGAGCCCTAGTAAAAGCATAAAAGGGGAGGGGTAAAAGGACTACCATATTTTCTGGCGTATAAGACGACCCCTTAATTTTTACAGTTAAAACATAGGATGAGGCCTATATTCGCTGTATAAGACTACCCCCCACTTCAAAAAAAAGACTTACTTTGCCGTCAAGATCTGCAGGTTATTTTTGTGCAATTTTGGTCTTTTGCCCCCGATTTTCGGTTGACTTTTTTTGTTTCAAAAGTCGTCTTATATGCCAGAAAATATGTAAATTTAAACAGGTGAATGGCAATAAGATGTAATGAGAAGAAAAAGGTCTAGTTATTTTTCATAAATATAATGGTAACCACAAATCAAAAATCTATAATATTAAAAAAAAGAAAAGAAAAACTCATAAAATACCGCCAAATTAAAATAGCGGACAGAAACACAAAGGAAAAGGAGCAATGGAGACACAGAAGAACAAGAAAACGAAGGATAAAATGTCTGTAGAAAGTCTTCATAGGTCAATAATTA